GAATGCCGAAGCTTGATTATTTCCATTAATTTATGGATATCTATATTTTGGTTTGTGAACAAGGAAACTGCTAAGGTTATCATGGACAGATTTTTCCAGTCTTATTTATACAAAGCCCGCATCATCCACAATTCATCCTAAAGCATACCAAGTTCATGTTCAAAATGCTTTCTAAGTGCAAACGTGTGACTGCAGTATTCATGACAAAAGTTTCTATGTTAGTTAAGTTTATATTCTCCCTGATGTTGATCTCCCCAGTCACCAAAGCACTTCACTAATTAGGTCCCAAATGCTTATAGTAACCAAAATAACATAGCTATCTAAAGCATGGTTCATCATTTTTATGATACAAATCATGATCTACAGTGTTATATATCTGAATCTAAAGTATATAGTGAATATGAACAGGCATTAAAAACAAATACAAAAGCCATATACAAGTCAAACACTAAACAGTTTTGGGGAAATACTAACCTAATTTAATTTTCTGGTAACTTTTCAAAACAACCAAGCATTTTTAGCATTTTCATAGCACCAGCAAATTTATGAGCTTAAAATATAAGGGATTAAATTAACCAGCATACTTGTGAAGTCAATAAGCATTAGCCACACTTCACAGATTGAAAAACGGAGGGAAAATGCACTGAAAAAAATCAAAGTGAATAGCAGAACCAAAACCAGAGTCCTGATTTCAAACGTATTCTTTTTAAGCAATGGTACAAAATTGTTATATCAGTGGGATCACAATACTGAATAGTTAATTTTGTTACAGCTCTGCTTGCATAGATTAGCTGATCTCATTTGTATTCTGATGTCTGGAGTAGACACACATTTCTCCAAAACTTGATATTTCCACAGCTCAGCATCTGGTTACTCAGTGAGAAAAATAAAGTGATGAAGGTTAGAACATCCCTAGGAGGATCAGCAACATCTGCTGAAGTGAGATGGATATGTGGCCCAGGTGAGAATTCACAAGGTGCCCTATTATAAATAACAAGGCACCTTCCTAAGCTAATTATTTACACTGGCTTTTTTTCCCTGGTGATACTTTTTATGTATTATGGAATGATATCTCATTGTACACAGAAAAAACAAGATCAAGGAAATAGCAGAGACCTTTAGAAAAAAAAGCAGGTAACTGAGGAAAATGGAAGAACTGTAGGAGTATATTTTGAGGAATGTTAAGAAGAGAGACTATAAACAATGAGAGAGACTTGAATGCATCTCCAAGGACATATCTTTACAATAATGTGGGCCACACATAGACACTCAATGTTGGAAGAACCCAGGAACAACCAGGTTTAAAAATCGCTCCTCAAAGGTTTGTTCTAGGAGACTGACCATCTGCACGCTATTCCCTGGCTTAACTCCTCCTGGTGACTGGAATTCCTCCTGCTTTGCCACACTACTATCTCTGCTCAGCTCCCAGGCACTTGAAGCCAAGTGCAGGAAGTACAGATCCTGCCTACTTCCATTTGCCCCAGCCTCCTGCTCAGTTAAGTAGTGTGGGCAGTGAGTTGGACTTGCAAGACTGGCTTTTGGCCCTGCCAGTTTCCCCTTGCCTTCCTGTGCTGCTCGGGGGGTGGAGACTGAAAAGCAGGTGTGGTCACAGCCAGGTTTGCAAACCTCACTTTCAGCCATACAGACTTCCACTTGTGCCTTCCACCCCTCGCCCCACACCTCCTCCCGCATTACTCAGCTGAAGCAGCGATTTAAAAGCTGGAGGGGCTGGAAGCCAGGTGTGAGGTGACTGTCCCCAAGCCGGGGTCCTAGCCCTTGATAGCTTCTCTTTGCCATGCAGCTAGTCTGGAACAGAGAAGGTTGAGGTAGATCCCACATAAGTCTGGGTCAGCCTGAAGAAGTGTTAGGTAAGGCAGGCTGCCATGTCCCTATGGCAAGTCTTCTGGACCCCTGTTATAGCAACTGAGTGCTCTCTTGCCTCTTCCCCCTCCCCTCTTACCACCTTCTACTCTTTTGGGTCAGCTAGGGATGAAAGGAGAGGAGGGTATTCTGCTGGGGAGAACCAGGAAGGTTCTCAACATGGGAAAATTCACCCCTCCTGCAAGTCAACTAATGGGTGGGATGGGAAGGGGGGTGGAGCATGGGCATTCTCCTGTATGGGAACCGGTCTGTGGCAACTACATCTTTTCAGCAGCTGCCAACTGCCACTTAACAGCTTGCACCCTTCCCAGGCAGGGAAGAGGACAAACTGGATGCAATTAATGCACAGAAAGTTTACTGATCAGTAAAATCCTGTGCAGTAAGCTTTTTGTGAGAGCATGTCTACACATGCACTGTTCAGGAGTAAATTTGCTCCTGACAGGAGCAGTTCAGGGCAGGGATACTCCTGCCTTACTCTCCTGCCATATGGCAGCTAGGGGGAGCTCCAGGCTTCTCAGGTGCCAGCCCCAGGCTGGCAGAGGACAACAGGGTCAGGCCTGGGCTGCAAGGGAAAAGCTATTTCACAGCCCCAGGCCCTGGGGCTGGGAAAGTGTCCCCTCTCCCACAGCTGTTTCCCAGCCCCCTTCTGATCTGCTGATCATGGCAGAGGACTGAAACACTGTCCCCTTCCCCACAGATGTTTCCCATTCCTCTGCCCAAATCTGACAATTGGGGCAGGGAGCTGGGGAACAGCTGAAGGGCAATGGACAATTTCCCAGGCCCCTGCCCTAATCAGCTGGTGGAGCAGCTGACAGTGAGCCCCTGTCTGTGCAGGGAAGTCCCACCCAGTTGGGGGCTCACTGCCAGCTTCCCCACCAGCAGGACAGCTCCCAGCCAGCCCCTAGCTGAGTGGGGAAGCAAGAACTCCTCAATCCTGAAGCTGCTCAGCTCCATGCTCCTGTGGGCAGCTGAAGTCCCTGCAACATTGGTAATGGGGGGTGGGTGCAGCGAGGGACCTGGCCTCCATGCTGATCGTCTCTTGGCTCCTGGAGAAGTCCTGAGCTGAGCAGCACCAGAACTGACATACCTGCTGGTATGGCTGACCAGGAGCAAATTTTCTCCCAGTCAGAGTCTACACAAGCCATACTGTGCAGTAACTACTGTGCAATTAGTTTAGTACCTGTATTTACAGCATGTCAGAGCAAACTTGATTAAGTGAGTCTGCCAGAGAGTGGTAATTACTGTGCTCCAGCAGACTCCAGCATCTTGTTTATCAGCGTCCCTGCACTGAAAAATAGCAGGGATCCCTGCTGCCATTTTTCAGCATGGGGACACTAATACACGAGATGGTCTGGGCACTTTAAATAGAGCAGCTTTTGGAGCTGCTCCAATTAAAGCACCCCTCCCACTTCTGAAACATGTTCAAGTGCCCTTAATCTACTGCACAGTAAAGCATCCCATATAGACACACCCAATGTTAATTAATGAGTTCCTCAAAGGGCCCTCTAGTGCCCTCTGGCTGGAAAGCTTGCCTGTTTGTCAAGAAACTTCACTGCAGCAATAGCTCCAGGGCTATTTTTCTACCAGAAGACATTTATTTCAGTAGAAATGAACATCTGTACATAGCCATCATCTCTTTCCAGAAACCATACAATGAGGGAAGAGTTTTAAGCAATGTCATAATTTTTCATCATAATAAATGAGCAGAACATTATTCATACAAGCTTCATTACCTGTTATCTGGACATTATAGCTGGCAGCCCACAGGATGAAAGTGTTTTATGAAAGTGATATATTACTTTTACTATCTATACTACTGAATTCTGCCAGCAGAGATCAAGTTGGGTCCAGGTCTTAACAGGTTTAGTTTAGAGCCGGGTGTAACAACCATTTATTGAAACAGGGTGCGCCCGCCCAAAGGGGAGGCAGATGATCTACAATAAAAAAGAATAAGGAATGAAAGGGTATTCCCTCACCAGACATAACCCTAACCTTTAGTTCTGTTACCAAAGTCTAAATAGAAAAGTTCTGGAAATTTTAGAAATGCTGGTTTCCATGCTAGCACCATTATACACAGCACTGGCTTCCATGAAAACTGGGGCAGCGTTAGTGAAATGATTCCTTCGAGGACACACTTCAACGTTAAATGGACTCTTTCTGAGGAAAGCTTTGTATATACAGATAGCATATGTGAAACTATCTTATTGTCCCCAAACATGCACTACAAAGTAGAGCCCAGCTGTTCATTCATTTCAGACACAGCACTGATCTGAGCTTATGTAAGGTTATGTTTCCAAAGCAATTTCACAAGGAAAAGA